TCGGGGATGCACTCTCTCTGATGGAAACCTAAGCTGTCGGCAGTTGATTTCAACCGTTGAAATTTGTTTTGCAAAATATATTTATATAGAGATATACATATATATAAATATATATATTATGGTTTCAAAATGTTTGCAAAAGGTTTTAATTCTCGGGATCCATCTGAGCAGAGAGTGCAGCACTGTACCTTGCAGCTGAAGGAGAGGTCCTCTCTTGTCAGGCAATGCTTGATCATTATGGGCTGAGAGGTTAAGTGTAAGACCATTGAGGATTATACCTGATGGGCTAATCTTACATCTGCCCACAGTCCTTAGGCCTTCATAAGATGGTTGGACCCAATGACCATTTAGTGTAAACGTTGGGCCCATTAAGAGCCCATAGTGATGGACTCAGGGGTTCACTGTATTCAGCGGTGAATTCGGCCAGGCCTTGTAACAGAGGCTAAGCTGAACCCATGTTGTTGATGTGCAGATCAATGATAAGGTCCCACGCCATACAAAGAGAACCAAGCTAGCCAGCATTAAAGTGGAAGTGAGCCTGAAAACTTAATGGGCCTAAAAGTACATTTCGAACTGGGTTAATTAGATTAATTAAATAGGGGCGGATTTGGGATTTGGATYAACAGATAAGATAAGGGATTATCCCTATCCACTAAAAGAGTTCAGAACCAAATAAAGGTTTGGATCAAAGGAACTCCTAATTTGATTAGGAAGGCTGATCTTTATCTGTAGATAAGATAAGKGAYTATCCTTATCACTTAAAGAGTCCAGATCCAAATAAAAGATTTGGATTAGGAAACTCCTAATGGGAATAGGAAATTTTCTCTTTAAGGCTATAAATAAGAGAGCAGGGTGAACCTCCAAAGACACATTCGTTGAATACAGAGAGAAGACATTACAGTTAGACTGCTCTTGCCGCCCCACCCTATTCGATCTCCAGTTCTTGGATTGGATCAAGATTGGATCTTGATATTGTTTCTTGTGAGAAGAAACAATCTAGAAGTTGTGCTCACTATCCTATTCGATTCTTGCTGAAGAATCACTAGTTCTTGGGGAAGAACTACCTGTTGATCCTGCCTCACCCTAAGCTGTGTCATATTCAGTGGAGGGAGGATTTGGAACTCTCTTTGGGCGTGAACACCTACGTTGGGAGGAGCATTCTTGCGTGGATTCCGTATCAGGTATATCCTTCTCTTAATTTGGTTTCAGATTTAGTCTGGTTTGGTTACAAGAACGAACCTTGAAAATGCAGTTTTCTAAATTGGGAATAGGATTCCCAGATGGGAGTAAAGAAATTTTTGAAATTCCGCCCAACCTTCCTACAGGGTTCGGCCATCCATATGATGGATCTCCCATCCCTTCAATTAGCTAACCCCAAACATCCTTAAATGGAAATTTTTTTGCAAATGGACTAGATAAAGGCAATAGGGACTTGAAGAAAGAGGTACAAGAGAAGGTTCCAGAGGGAGTTAGGGTCCACAGTCTCTTATCCCTCTCAAAGGGATCCAATACCACCCGGTTTAAGATCTGAACTAGACTCATGACATTTTCAACCTCTACATCCCTTAAGCCTCTTCTAAGCCCTAGATCCCAATCAAACCCAAAATTAGACTGAGAAGGATCTAGAAAATTAGACACAACTTTGCCCTTAAACCGGCAAAGTAAAAACAAGGAAGGGAATTGGTCTTTCAAAGGTATCTCACCCACCCAAATGTGCTCCCAAAACTTTACCTGATTCCCAGAGCAGAACATTATTTATTATCATACATATAAAAATAAAAGTATTATATATACTATTTATTATTATACATATAAAAATAAAAACATTAGATATATAAAAATATTATTATACATATAATAAAATATGGATGCATTAGGCTCGTGAGCCAAACGAGTTGAGCTTCTTGAGCTCGGTTCGATTAGCAAACGGGCCTATATATCAGGCTCAAGCTCGGTTCGAAGCTCATTTAAACCAAGCTGAATCGAGCTTTTCAAGAGTTGAGCTCAAATAGCTTGTGAAAAGCTCAATTAATTTCCACCTCTAATCAGTAAGAGCCAAAGTCAGATATTCCTGAGTGGCCCAGACTTTGTAACCAACAGTAGTAAATATTTTCACATAGCCAATTTTTGTCTTTTGAAAAGGTAAGGTATCGTATCACATAGCCAATAACTCCATCATGGAGTTTATACAACAGTAGATGCCATAAAAAAGGGAAATTTAAACTCAGATCCATGATAACCTGTTAACATACAGAAATATAATATGTATCTAGTACCAAAAAAAAATATGCTTATAGTTTATTACCGCATGTTAGGCAAAAAACTTGACTCTAGGGGTTAATTATTTTCACCAAAAAGAGGAAAACATATTCTGAAAAGAAACCTGTATGGTTGCTCCTCCTCTTCCATGCTGTGTGTGTTGTGCTTTTAGGACCTAAAACCAAATTGCATGTCAAACGGTCACTTTAAGCACCACTCTTTTGCAAACTATATTGAGACACAGGTACCGAAACAACTAATGTCTGCTAAACAATTATCTCCACCATATTCAACTACCTGGTAAATACGCCCTGAGGAAGATAGCATGCAGCCATACGCAAAACAAAAACAAAGTTATCAGTAAATCTATGCAATAACTCAACCTTCATTAGCTGCTAACAAGGATAATGCAACCGACCTTTTCTTTGGATGACATTCCCAAGTCTGACCTGCACCAAATCAAATCATAGTTATGAATTCACATGATAAAAGAACTTAAAGTTAAAATGCATCCGTGATTCAATTTATTAGTTGATTCACGAGGGAATGGCATCCCATGTTTCAGCTCGATAATTAACAGCTTCCTTATTTCTTATTTCCTTTCTCTTTTTCTTGGGGCGAGGGAATGTTTAAGTTTAACTGAAACACAATACCTCCCGGTTGCAAGTTGCCACGGGATTTATTCAGTTAATTGAGTTATAGACTGAATCCCAATAACTTAAATTCTCATCATTTAGCGCCCCCATCAACTTTAACGCATTAATATCTGAATAGTAGTAATATGATACAAGTGGGTTGTTTATAAATATAAATCCTATTGCATTGATAAGCAGGAAATCGATCCAAGTTGCATCATTTTCCTCTTCTCTAATCTAAATAAATGCAATATCGGAACTTGAATTTCTAATGCAAAACGAATAAACAAAATAAACATTTAACTTTGGATAGATTGGATGAACTAATGAACTAATAAACATTTTCTTCTTTTCTAATTTAAAGAATTGCGATATAGTAGACTACGAATGAACTAATGAAAGTGTGGAAAAAACATACATCGGAACCGAGAACTTTAGCTCCTCGGTGCTGGATGGCCGACCATGGAGAGACGAAAGTGCCACGTGCCAAGGAACCATTGGACGAGTTCGTTAAGGGCAATGATGGCCTATAAACTGTAAGGGTTCTCGGGGAAGATAATGAAGAAGATGAGACGGTGGCAAAGAGGATTCGCGGTAGTCTTTTTCGGAGTGCTTGCATTTGTACAGACTTGGTCACGACGAACCGGCTTGTGATCGTTTTAGACCTTTTGTGGAATCGGAATATCAGGGCTTTGCGAATTGCAGAGCAAATTTTTTATCGTGTAATCGCGTACCGAATTGAAAAAATTAGAAGAATGTTGAAACTTGAAACCAAGCCAAAATGGAATAAAGAAGCTCACAGGCAGAGTTCTAAATCCTATAAAAAAAAAAAAAAAAAAAAAACTGTAACTTTTGGTAAGATTGTTTTGAGTCTTTTGACTTCACTCCACATCCAAACTTCGACTAATGACTTATGTTTCGGACTACCCGATACTTACCTTACATACTTAGCGAATTTAGGGAAAATTGCTGATAGTGCGAATTTAGTAATTTAACTTTAAAACGCTATAAACTAGTATCGGAATTTTCAAAATGCGACAATTTAGTATTTATTCTTAATGGACCGTCGGTTATATATATCACGTGACCTCATTTATAATTTAAGATTTTTGAAAATATCAAAATTACTTTAAAAAATAAAACACATTGTTCTTACCTTCTTAAAAATGAGCCTAAACTCTCAATAGTCCAGATCATGAGACTCAATTATTTAACGTCTCACCCGAAACTTTGGTTTGACAAAAGCCTTCTTAAATCTAATATGAGGATGTATCAAGTTGTTTTCCTCCTTATTCATCGTTGACGTTTAGCGGAAGTATTTTTTAATTAAATGCATGGATGGGAGAGAAGTCATAGCGTTGTCTGGCTTTGCATCTTATTACATGAAGCAATGAGGGGTTGCTGGATCAGGGCCGGGAGCACAGGCTAGGTTACATGGACCACCAGGCATTCGCCCGCCAACTGGTCCTACTATGCCAATGCAATCAAATATTAGTGGCAGTTCAGTTGGATCAACATTCCAAGTAGAGTCTTCGTCTACGATTTCGCCTCATGGTATTAACGTGAGTGTGTTGTTGGGAGCTCCAACAACAATTACTGCAACCAAATCTACTCCACGGATGATATATACATGAAAACATAGGAGGTTCAACCAGTTTTTGCTTTGGGTCATTCACCTCTGAGCAGATACAACCTCGTGAGAGATTACAAGCTCACGGGAGCAAGGTGAGATGCATAATTGAGTTTCTTCAACCAGTGAAATTTGTATAGCCGTTGTGTCGATCTTTCCTGTTTGAATGTTGAAGCTACAGAGGATGGGGAAGATGGGATGAGATAGCTTGAAAACAGTGGAATACTAAGGGGGATCGATGGGAAGTAGAATGGGGTTGGGTATCGATTGGATTTGTGCCAAAAGGGGTTAGCCGAATGAGAGTAACAGAGGAGTTTCACCGCTGCAACTCTTATGTTTCTTGCCGGAAACGGTGATGAATAGCAAAGAAAGAAAAAGGAAGAGAACGATGAAAGTGAAGAGGGAATGAAAGATATGTGAGAATGGACAAGAGAGGAGAAAAAAAAAGAAAGGAAGAATAATGGCCATGGGGAGCGCTATGCACCGTTGTTGTTTGAGAGCTTGAAGAGGATGAACAACAGTTTAGGGCAACGAGAAACATTGAGTCATCAGTCTTCGAGTTAAACGCATCTAAGGACTAATTAGTCTTCAAAGGAAAAACTAGGAAGGGCATTTCTTACACAGTTATTGCTTATGGTTGATAAAGAAAATTTGATGACATTTGAAGGGCATTTTTGTCTTTTTCCATGACACTTAACGGGTGATTGACGGTAGGTACTAAATTGCTGCATTTTGAAAGTTCGGATACTAGATTGTCGCATTTTAAAGTTCGGGTACTAGATACTCACTACTCAGCCTAAAGTACAGGGTACCTATCGGAAATTTTCCCTATATATTAAGATCAAAATAAATCCATTTAACGCCTGCATGGAATAGACATTTGTTTAGGTTGATATGGTGAATTTTGTTTATATAAGAGACAATTATAAATTATATTTTGTGCTTAGAGAGGGGTCATGTCAAAATATAATTCCAGAATCTTTTGCTATATAGGGATTAAAGTCAAATAGGGTATGAATTCAATGAATAACAATAAAAACGAATACCTTAAATATAAGTCTTAATGAGAGTGATTTGAATTAAATAAAAAATGATTTATTTAAATTACATTTTTATACTCTCCTCCATCACTATTAAGCAAATAAAAAATTGAAAACAAACAAGAAGATAAAGAAAAAAGTTAAAGCCCTGGATTTTAAAGATATATGGCAAATTGTTTCATGATAATTTAAAATTTATCATATGCCATCGTTGAGAGTATAGTGTTGGAAGTCTAAAAGTGGAGGATAACTCTTTTATGCAAATGAAATATCAATGACCTATTACATGGAAGGTCCTTGTATTTTATCCATTTGATTTTATAGTATGGTGCCATGGTGGTGAACCTCTGATAGACATATGGAACCTGTTTGGACAGTGCTCTAGTTGGCTGAAGCTACCATGTGGATGCAAACATTTACATATGGGACCTATTACATGGAAGGTCTTTTGTGGTTGACATCTTTGGTCCATGTCACTACGCTACACACCTAAGCAAGCATTTACATCACCGAGGATCTCACAAGGAAATTGAGTCCCACATGGACAATGATAAAACACCCTCGTCTATAAAGGTAGAGCCTCTCTAAGATTTTGGTGGACGGCCTCATCCTGATAACCTTACAAAGAGCCTGTTCAACTACAACACAAACACTCATCCTTTTAAAGGCAACTCTCTCTCTCACTAAGAAAGATCTTTGAATTCTCCATTTTTCTTTCTCTTTTATTATTTTCCTCAATTCAGACGAACTTGACCCAACCACTTCATCATCCTATTACTAACTTAAGCATCAAGGTGCATTATTGAGGATCTTATCCTCGGGCCTCTGATTATTCTCTATTTGCAAATTCCTTTAATGCACGACTTTGTCTTTCCACCTTATCTCCATCCAATTGATAGGATTTATCTGTTACGTACTTGGTTTGGTACACCTTAAATTGTATTAGCATGATAAAAAAGAAGGAATAACTTCTTAAGTTTGATGATATAATTTGGATGATCTCTTAAATTGAGGCTTAATATTTTGACTTTTAAAAATATAATATTATTTTCTTTATAAAATATATAAGAAAAAATTTCTCAAATTATCGATATTTTTAGTTAATTGACAAATTATACCCTTCCTCTTTAACTATTATGTTCCTAAGTTTTTTTGATAACTGTCTAACTCTACCCCTTTCCTTAGTGCTCGTTAACGTTGCGTCAAAATTCGTACAAGTTTTTTAAATCCATTAATACCCTCCATCCCTCTTCTCTTCACTTCCTCGATTCGATTTCTTCACAGCTCCGGCAACCTTCTATTCTTTAACTCAGCCGCAGCAGGTGCACAGCAGCTCCGGCACCTACGACACCGGCAGAAAAAGTACTAAAAAACGACATCACCGCTGGAAGGAACCGAGGCAAACTTCCTCAACCAAAGGCGATCGGTCGTTTTATATGCCTCCAACCTTGCACCTCCGCACACTAGGACCTCGGTAGGGATCACAACAGCGTTCTCGCCGTATAGCTCTATGGGGAGAAGAGCAGACATTCCCGATGCAAGACAGCACTGGAAACTCGCGAACAAGGAACAACCTTACCGGTATCGCAGGGTTCAAGAGAATGGAGCGATTGTTACTTTGTTAGCAAGGATGAAGAGATTGTCGTCTGCGGGGAGGTATACAAATGGGTAGAGATTGTTCTCGCCCTCGTCGGTCGTCTAACGGAGGAGGGGCAAATCGTAGTTGGTAGGATTGGATTTACCTTCCTCGGGTACAAATTAATAGTTGAACATGCGACGACCACCGAGTCACCGACTACGATGAAGCTTCCATCGGGTAAGATCTGTTAGGTGTCATACCATCTCTGGCCAGAGTGCAGTTGGGTACTCCTTCCAACCGCAGGTATCACATGCAGAGAGGTATCTCATTTAAACTAGTACATTTTTGGAAGTTTAGGTAATGAATTGACATGTTTTAAAGTTTCGGAACCAAAATGACAATAGCCTAAAATATACAAAAGTTTTCCCATTATTTAATCAGGGTGGTTTAAGTATTTGTCATAAACGTTTGGGGAGGTTTAAGCAGTTTACCCTACTGGCTACTTTTAACATCGGGTGAGTCAGCTGTATGTTTTCAGGTTTTCCATTCATTGCACAATTTCAGAGAACTAGTTTCGTGTTCATTAAAGTCGTAGAAGTCCCGGATTTGTGTCTATATCCTGGTCCGAACGGTAGTTTGTTGTTTGTTCCTCTTCCACGGCTAAGGTAAGAGCGACCTTTTTCACTTTTGATCAAACTCTAGAGTCTGGATCGGCATCTCTCACTATGGTGGAACTCAAACTAAGCAGTTAGCTTTTAGAAATGATTATAAAACCAAAACTCGCTCGCTACCTCTGTCGTGTCGGCCATGGCCGTGACCTCTTCCGTTTCTGTATTTCAAGTCTACCTTCAACAGATGATCTGGACTTCCAGGATGCCAGAAATGAGCTGGATGCCCGTGTCAGGTCCCTCTGTGAAAAACCCCGTTGCCAGTTTGGGGAAGCGGTCGCTACTCTCAACCGTGCCATTGATTCAGGTCTCACGCCTTATAGTGGAACCTGTAATTTCTTCATCGATGCTCTCGTGAAATTTAGAAACCATGAGTTGGCTCTAATGGTGTATAAACGGACGACACAGTCAGGAATTTTGCCTAATTATCGATCCTTGTGCGCTCTAATCGACTGTTTCCTGCATACCCAGAAACTAAAATTCGCTTTTGGAGCCGTAGGATTGGTCTTGAAGCGTGGTTACAACATTAATGCATTCCCATTGAATCTCATACTGAAAGAACTCTGTCAAAGACATGAGGTCGGCCAGGCTTTGGAACTTTTTGGCGAAATGAAGAGAAATGGAGTCTGCCCTGATGTTATTACTTATAACACACTCATAAACGGGCTTTGCAAAGCAAAGAAATTGGAAAATGCTTTAGAGTTGTGGGGTGAGATGGAGGCAATGAATTGTAGCCCTAATTTGATTACGTACACTATACTCATGGATGGTGTATGTAAGGAATATAGGGTAGATGAAGCAATTGGTTTGTTGGATGAGATGCGTGAGAAGGGGCTTGATGTGGATGTTGTTGCATATAGTACAGTTATAAGTGGGCTTTGCGGTAGGGGAAGTGTCTATCGGGGCAAGGAACTGTTGGATGAGATGTTGGAGAAAGGAATTGTTCCCAATGTCGTTACTTATACTTCCTTGGTCCATGGTTTTTGTAAGATGGGTAATTGGAAAGAAGCCACAGCAATGTTAAGTGCCATGACAGAACGTGGGATCCAGCCAGATGTTGTTACATATACAGGCTTGATTGATCAGCTATGCAAGGATGGAAAGGCAAAGGAAGTGATGGACATTGTGACCTTGATGATGGAGAAAGGTGAAGAACCAAGTACCATAACATATAATGTTATAATTAATGGGTTATGCAGAGAAGGCCTGGTGCCTAATGCTTTTGAACTTGTGGAGATGATGAGGGGAAGAAGGAAGATTCCTGATGTGGTAACATACAATACATTGATTGGAGGACTTTGCAGTAGTGGGAAGGTTGATGAGGCAATGATGCTACTCGACAAGATGGTCAATGGTGAATATGATGTTGAGCCAGATGCCATGACCTTTAACATGCTAATCCAGGGACTCTGCAAGGAAGGCCATCTTGATAAGGCTATAGAAATTCAGCGGAAGATGGTTGAGAGGAGGAACTGTAGTAATTTGGTAACTTATAACATGCTTATTGGTGGGTGTTTCAAGGCTAGAAATGTTGACAAGGCTATGGAGCTCTGGCAAGAGATGCTTCAGCTGGGATTTGTCCCAAACTCCTTCAGCTACAGTATTATGATAGATGGGTTCTGCAAGCTGCGGATGAATGATACTGCAGTTGGACTTCTCTATGAAATGAAAGCTCGTGGGCAAAATCCTACTTTGTTTGATTACAACACATTAATGGCATCTTTGTGCAAGGAGGGTAGTTTGGAGCATGCACGAAAGTTGTTTCAAGAAATGAAGGATGCAAAATTTGAGCCAGATTTGACATCATTTAACACCATGATTGATGGAACACTCAGAGCAGGGGATCTTCAAGCTGCGAAAGATCTTCTTGTGGACATGTTTGAAAGGGGCTTGTCTCCTGATGTTATAACTTTTTCCACATTAATAAATAGGTTTTCAAAAGTAGGGAAATTGGATGAGGCCAAGAGACTGTGTGAGAGCATGGTTGATCGTGGCTTTTCACTAGATGCCGTCGTATATGATTCACTAATAAAAGGATTTAGTGCGAAAGGTGAGATGGATGAAGTTATCAATTTGCTTCGCCAGATGGCATCTAAGGGTGTAGTTCTTGATATGAAAATAACCTCTACTATTTTGAACTCTCTTTGTTTGGACACAAACAATCCTGAGATCATGGAGTTCTTACCTACCTTTCAAGAAGAAGCTTCAAAAGGGACGAGTATCTCGTGTCATGAGTTATTAATGAGACTTTGTAAATCACATACAGAACTTCAAATACAGTCTGATTGGTATTAGTGAGCTGCAGCAATACTGTGCTAAGAAAGGCTTGGAGATGCCAGTTGCTTCAGATTTTCTGAGTTTTTAGGTAAATACTTTGCTTTACATTTTCTTTTAATTATCTTGGATTGTGTCCATACTAGGACATTTTCTCAAATGTAAAAGATTAATTACTGCAGTAGTGGAAAATTCTTCATTATACATACTTTTTTTTCTTATCTTTTTTAATTTTTTTCAGGGGGTGGAGGTTAAATTGTTTGATTCAATAGAAAAGTGAAAAGGATGTGACCTTTTGTTTTTTAGATTGAACATGTACATGTAACCGAAGGGGTGTTAAGTACTGTGGAAACATTGTGAATTGCTTGGTTTCAATTCATGTCACAGTAGCGAGCTTTTCGTTTGAGGGTATAGCCCAGTTAGAACCACACTATAGTGTGGATTGGATCATTGAACTAGGCTATATTGCAATTTCTTGTCCACAGTTAAATCTCATGGATCAATCCATGCCACAATGGATTGAATGATTACTATAGTGTATAATGTGTATTCTGTATTGTAATAAATGACTAGATATTCTACTTAAGATTTTACGGACAAAACATCCACACCACAGTACAGAACAACTATAGAGTTTTTTGTGGTTCAAACCATGTGTTTTCAACCACACCACAGTGGGACCCAGTAGATTTAAACACACCACATGAGATAAAGACCACGGTACCAAATAACCTTAGTTAGCTGGTCAATTGTAAGTTGCAATAGTAATTTTTTAGTTGGGAAAAAAAGACTATTCTTCATAAATGTTAGACTTATATAAATCAAAAGAAGATGCATTGACTGATAGTTTAGCCAAGATGGGAGTTAATAACAGAAGTCTAGGTGTTGGACATTGTGAAACTTTGTTGTGCCATCCTTGGTCAGCTATATGCTGTTTTTATATTGTACTTATCCTCCACTTTTGTGGAAGGGATTCTTTAATAAAATTCCTTATTAAAAAATTATCTTTTCATTTATGATGTTATGAGTTTCAAGAGACTCTGCCCAATAAGAGATTATTTGTAAGCCCAATTGCATCCAAGTGGAAGAAGACCTTGCAGATTGCCATAAAGCAAAAGCCTCTTTTTTCATGGTATATTTTTGGTGCAATTTGTCTCTACGCTTTCTTATGTGTACATGCTGTTTTTGGTACCATCTTTCCTTCCACCCTTTGCTTTGTTGTTTACTGCCTGCACTAGTATTGTACACACACACACACACACACACACAGACACACACTTATGTACAAACGCACATACATTTTGATAGGAAGGAAAAAATGAGCTTTTACCAAGTACACCAAAACAATCATTATTTGGCGGTACTTCATACTTTCAATAGTAATACTTCTACTTTCGTATTTTTACTTTGAAACCCATTTGGATGAAAATTTTTCAAAAACATGCTTTTCAAAGTAAAAGTAAATAATGGCATTTGGATACAACAAGATGTTGTACACGTGTGCATGCCAATTGCATCCAAGTGGAAGAAGACCTTGCAGATTGCTACAAAGCAAAAGCCTCTTTTTTCATGGTGTCTTTTTGGTGCAATTTTGCCTTTACGCTTTCTTATGTGTACATGCTGTTTTTGGTGCCATCTTTCCTTCCACACACACACACACACACACACACACACAAACATACATTTAGATAGGAAGGAAAAAATGAGCTTTTACCAAGTACACCAAACGGTACTTCCTACTTTATGCTTTCAATAGTATGAAGTATAAAGTACTTGTAATATTTCTAATTTCGAATTTTTACTTTGAAACCCCTTTGGATGAAAATTTTTCAAAAGCATGCTTTTCAAAGTAAAAGTAAATAATGGCATTTGGATACAACAAGATGTTGTACACGTGTGCTTGCCACGTGGTATAACATATAAGCATATGCTACATTGTGCCATATATGTGTCATTAAATACCTTCAAATGCTACATGGCATCTATATATGATGTCATGTGGTAAACACGTCATTAGTTACACACAAATGCCATGTGCATCCATATATGCTGCCAAGTGTGAACAAAGAACTCTCATGGCCTCAAACAAGTGCCTAGGGCTTGATTTGAGAAATTTATGTCCACCATTGCTAATGCAAGGTTTGCTCAGAGTTCTGCTAATTATTCTTTGTTCACTCTTAGAAGTTCATGTGGCATCACTCTCGTTAGTTTATGTGGATGATATCCTGATTGTAGGAGATGATGTTGATGGTATTTCTTCCCTGAAAAAAAAACTCTCTGTCATCCTTTCAAGATGAAAGATTTTGGCCCTTTGCCTTACTTCTTGGGTCTAGAAGTGTCTCATTCTGATCATGGGTGCTTTGTTAATCAATAGAAGTATGCACTTGATTTGGTGAAACCGGCCTCCCTAACGGATGGAAAACAAGTTGATACACCTCTTGAACTTAATCATTAGCTCTCTAAGGAAGATGGTGAACCTTTTGCTGATGCTATCTCTTACCGGTATTTGGTTGGTAGTCCATAATGACTTGATCTGACATACCATATGTAGTTCAGATTGTCAATCAGTTTGTCTCTGCCCTGTGGAAGCCTCATATGTCAATAGTTCATCGGATTATCTAATACGTTTAGGGGACTATCTCATGGTCTCTTCTTTTTCTTCATCCTCCCCATTTACTCCTAAGGCCTATGCTGATGTTGATTGGGCTGGGTGCCCTAATACTAGACACTCTACTACAGGGTGATATTTCTGTTAGAGAATATCAACCTATTCAAGGACCTCACCTAACAGCTTAAGCTTTTAGGTTGAATGGTTCTTTGAGATGGTATTGGAGCCACTTTGACCAAGTGGTCTAGTGTTCGATCCTCATTACCCCCATTATAATTAATTAAGTTTCAGCACATGATATGGGTGGGCTTGTGCTTGTTCACACTTCAAGCCCAATGGGCTTTCGTGTGAGGGGGCATGTTAGAGAATATCAACCTATTCAAGGACCTCACCTAACAGCTTAAGCTTTTAGGTTGAATGGTTCTTTGAGACTCCTTGATATCATGGAAGATGAAATAACACAATGTCTCTAGGTCCTCCAAGAGAGCAGAGTATCGCGTAATGTCCTCTACTTATAGCGAATTGGTCTGGCTTTGTGCTCTCCTGGATGACATTGGTCTTTCTTATTCCTATCTTATCCTTTTCTATGCAGACAATGTTTGTGCCATCAAGATTGCCTCAAATCCGGTATCCCATGAAAGAACAAAACATATTGAGGTTGGTTTCCACTCTAGGGATCAATATCTTGCAAGCCATGTCATCCTTTGTCGCGTGTCTTCTAGTCTCCAACTGGCAGATCTCTTTACCAAAGCTCTGACACGTGCTTGCCATCAATTTCTCAGTGACAAACTGATGGTTATTTCTTGGCATCAGTTTGAGGGGGGTGTAAAGATATGGGGTGATTCCCCTAGTGGGACCATGTATATATTGTATATAGTTTGTACCTTATATTGTACATTATTTGTCTTTCTCTTGTATGTGAGGGACATAACCATCCTTTCACACTATTTGGAGTAAATATAATTTTTGCCCTTTTTGGGCATATCAAACTAATACACCCAAAGCAACTATGTGTCATTTGAACTGCTCTAATATATTTAACTCCTTTGATGAAGTGTGGGAAAGCCTTATATATTCCCCTCCAAACTGAATAGCTTTAACTTTAGTTTGAGATATTGGCATCTCAACCATTGTTACTAATGCTGTACTTTGCTGCAATGACCTGTCTCCACACCCCCCCCCCCAATTCTTTAAATCACCAAAACCATAGAAGAGAATATATTGACAGAACCTTTCGTATACCAAGGCCCCTTGAAATCTTTTTCCGATCCAGCAAGTGAAGGAACTGTTAGTTATGATGATTCTACTCTGAAAAATTGGCTGTTCTACATGGATTATGGCTGGAAAAGCCAATGCACGAGGAAATTTTGGTTGAAAGGGAACTCTCATGTGATTATAAGATGACTAAGTAATGAAGCAGGGTAACAATAGTATAGACACATTGAAGGAAATCATATGGCTAACTGTTGTACTCCAAGATCAGCTATTTTTTTTTTCTTTGCTGATGGCTTAGCAAAATGAGGGGTAAACAGAAGCCAAATGTATTGGGGTCTAAATCCCCCAGAGTGGTGTTTATCTTATGCAAAATTACGCTTAAGGCAGCTAGCCTACACCAGCTACCTTTATGGGGTACTTGGCTCTTGATTATACAACTTCCCAATACGTACTTCAATAAATTAAATTTACTATAACTGATAAAAAAGTCTGTGGTTAGTAACTAAAATGACTTTTTTTAGTTTCAAGAAGAATGTTTCACTTTTTTTTTTAGTATTGCATTAAACTGATAACAAAAAACATATACAAAGCCCTGCACAGTAAGGCACTGGGCGGGGAATAGCATTCTCTATGTACACCCCAATTTTAATCACCTAGATACAAAAAAGATTACTACCACAGAAAAAAGAGATGTATGATATATTCTTGAAAAGTGTGTGTACTGCCACTCATGAGTATATTCTTCCCCCAAATATTCAGTATTGTATTTATTTTCAAAATATCTCTTATTTCACTCTGTTCAGATTGACCAAATCACTGCTGCCGCTATCACTTCCCATATAACCTTCCCTTTTCTAGACAAACCAGTTAGATGCCATCTCCACAATAAAGCCTTTTAATCCTTTGGAAAACATAGCTGCACCTCAAACAGCCTCAAAGATTTATAAAGTATGTAAATATAGCTTCCCATATAATCTTCAAGAATAATGTTTTTAATGAAGTATGCAAACCTCTTTATTATTCTCTCACCATGATTGAGACTCACAATGGGGTCTTAGATGATAGACTGTAATAGCAGGAAATAGTTGTAAGTGTAGAATGGTGGAATAAGAGCTTCTGGCATTTGGAAATGAGAATGGGCTTGTTGTTGCATTGTTTTTAGGCCCAATTGGGGCAGGAGACTCACTACAGGCTCAGGTTATGGCTGTAATGGAAGGCGTGCTATGGGCAAGGAATATGAACATGAAGAAATTGGTCATTGAAGGTGA